CGCGGTATTGCTCTACTGCCTGAGCGACTTCGTCCGTGTGAATACCATTCAGACCTGCTTGATAGGCTTCTTGATCTAGGGGTTCACGTTTATACCTTTGAACCTCTCTCTAGATCATGAATATCTTTCCTTACGTGCCTGAGCGGGGGAGTCCTGTCCATAAGACTATGGCAGGGATGTTCCCGACGATAGCACCCAAGGATGGGCGGCTGAAACGAAGTTCCCACTGAACATAATGGTCGATGGAGAATTGATTCCGACCACCAACTACCCCCCGATACTGGGCCTTCGACAGCCTTTTCAAGTCGTCTGCGCAAGCGACTGATTTATGCGATAAGCTGGGAAGTAGGAACAAGGTCCTCAACTCGCTAGCCGGCAGCACTTGGGGCGCTGACAAAGAAACCCTGTTGACCTCTTATAAAGCAATAGGCCGGCAGTGGTAAGCTATGCTGCGCCAGTTTGGTTCGCGAATATTAGTGATACGTAGTGGAAGAGAATCCAGACCTACCAGAATGCTGCCTTGAGAACAGGGTGTCTCCTCATGACTCCTGTGGACCATTTTCATGAGGAGACGAAGATCTTAACCGTCCATCGTCACAATTATATGTTGTCGATGCAGTACTTGCTTGGGTGCTATAATACCTTGTACCACAGTGCGGTGGAGGGTATAAAAAATATAAAAAAATAATATAATGCGTTATTTTTATAAAAAATATTTTTTTCAATGATCTCTAGAATGCGTGGATTTAAAAAAAATATATATTTTTTTAATGACCTATCTTCGATGCCAATTTTTAAAAATATTTTCTCAATGAACTATATAAGGCGTGGATTTTTTAAAAATATTTTTTCATTGACCTATATAAGGCGAGGATATTATAATTTTAAAGATTTTGTATTTTTTTTTTAATTTCATCGATTTGTTACCAACCTTTGACCGATACCAAAAATATTACCCCCAACCGTTATAGTGGTGTTAGTGCTGTATAAAACCCAAACACCATCGATTGGATCAAATTAGTCTCATTAGTTCTATTAGGTAATTCCGCTGAATAATTTTTGTTTAACGCAATATTTCCCAAACCATGGCTCGTCATGGTTCTGTGAATATGTGGCGGATTTTATTGATTCTAATAATTTGCGTAATTTGCAATGAATCATCAAAACAAAAGGTGATTTTGTAAAAAAAAACAATTTTTAAATCAAAAAATAATTTTTCCACCTCCTCCCACAGTCCAGGATTTTATTATTTCAAGATGTCAAAATTAAATTCAATCCCGACTATTTAAGTGACTATCACCTAGATATCTCCGAAGATCGCCAAGGCTTTGACTGTGAAGCGATATTAATAAAAAATATAACTCAACCCATTTGGAATCGGTTGAGCATTGAAATCAAGTCTAAGAAGGATGACGACCATTACAAATCGATATTTAATTATGAAATAAATATTTGTAATTTTCTTGGTGTGACCGGACGCAGCAGCACCACTAATATGATAATGTTGTGGGTACAAAACACACTGAAATATAGTAATTTGCCAAAGTCATGTCCAGTTTTGACGGTTTGTAGTTTTGAATTTAATTTATTTTGTAAAGGAATTTCAATTTTTTTTTCTTTGGAATTATTTGGAATTTTAGGGTACCTATGGCTGGCAAAATTTCAAAGTGGAACGCAACAGCATACCCTCATTTGCCCTAAATGGTTTATATCGCATCAACATTACTAATTTTTTTAAAACAAAATCGGGAAATGTTATGTTGAGTGATACCACATTATTGTTTACGCTGAAAATGAAATGAAAAAATCAAATATTAAAATTTAAATTTGAACATGTAATAAAAATAAAAAATAATTTTGTAAGAATCCACGCCTATTCTTGTTATTGGGTATCAGATTTTCACGGAACTTAGCATACATCATTCTGGGCCTAATTCAGTATCCTATGCCACATTTCGCGCAATTTGAAGATATATAGGGACTTTGGTGCACCATTTACCTTAAATCCGACGACGATATATATGGGAGCCATATCTAAATCCGAACCGATTTTCATGAAACTTAACACACATCATTTCAGACTCAATTCAGTACTCTATGCCAAATTTCGTGGAAATCGAAAGATATATAGGGACTTTGGTGCCCCATTTACCTTTAATCGCAAGAAAATATATATGGGAGCTATATCTATATCTGAACCGATTTTCTCGAAACTTAGCACACATCACTCTGTTCCCAATCCAGTACCCTATGCCGAATTTCGTGCAAATCGAAAGATATTTAGTGACTTTGGTCCCACATTTACCTTAAATCGGAATATGTATAGGAGCTATACCTAAATCTTACCGGATTTTCTCGAAACTTGACAATCGCCATTCTAGACTCATTTCAGCACACTATGCTAAATTTCGTGAAAATCCAAATATATATAGAGACTTTGGTGCACCATTTACACAAAATCGGACGAAAATATATATGGGACCTATATCTATATCTGACCCGATTTTAACGAAATTTAACACACATCGTCCTAGACTTAATTCAGTAGGATAAGATAAATTTCGTGCAAATCGAAGGATATATAGGGATTTCGGTGCACTATTTTTCTAAAATCGGACGAAACTATATATGGGAGCTATTTCTAAATCTGAACCGATTTTCAAGAAATTTTACACACATCATTCTAGACCTAATTCAGTACACTATGCCAAATTTCGAGAAAAATGAAAGATAAATAGGGACTTTGGTTCACCATTTACATAAAATCGGACGAAACTATATATGGGAGCTATATATAAATCTGATTATTCCCAATTTCGGTATACTAAACGGTGGGTCTAGGACCAATATTTCACGGCGTTACAATTTCTTGGGGCAGCACAAAGCTATAATACCTTGAGAACATAGTTGTGTAGGGTATAAAAATCCACGCCCATGTTGGATACTTGAAAAAATATTTTTATACCCTTCACCACACTGTGGTACAGGGTATTATGTCTTTGTGCATATGTTTGTAACAGGCAAAAATAATCGAGATAGATCCATGGTTCCTTTTGAGAATATGCATAGAATCACTAAGTCGATTTATGCATGTCCGTCCGTCCGTCTGTCTGTCGATGTTAAATTGTAAACAAAGTACAGGTCGCATTTATGATCCGAATTGGATGAAATTTGGCACAGGTCACTTATTCGGCCCAAGGACGAACCCTATTGAAATTGGGAAAAATCGGTTCAGATTTAGATATAGCTCCCATATATATATATTTAACCGATTTAATGTAAACGGTCCCTATATATCTTTCGATTTGCACGAAATTTGGTACAGGCTAATCATTTAGGTCTATAATGATGTCTGCCAAGTTTCGTGAAAATCGGTCCTGATTTAGATATAGCTCCCATATATAGTTTCGTCCGATTTCAGGTAAATGGTGCCCCAAAGTCCCTATATATCTTTTGATTTGCACGAAATTTGGCATAACGTGCTGAATTAAGCCTAGAGTGATGTCTGCCAAGTTTCGGGAAAATCGGTCCAGATTTAGATATATCTCCCATATATAGTTTCGTCCGATTTCATGTAAATGGTGCCCCAAAGTCCCTATATATCTTTTGATTTGCACGAAATTTGGCATAACGTACTGAATTAAGCCTAGAGTGATTTCTGCCAAGTTTAGAGAAAATCGGTCCAGATTTACATATAGCTCCCATATATAGTTTCGTCCGATTTCATGTAAATGGTGCCCCAAAGTCCCTATATATCATTCGATTTCCACGAAATTTGGCATAACGTACTGAATTGAGCCTAGAATGATGTCTGCCAAGTTTCATGAACATCGGTCCTGATTTAGATATATCTCCCATATATAGTTTCGTCCGATTTCATGTAAATGGTGCCCCAAAGTCCCTATATATCTTTCGATTTGCACGAAATTTGGTACAGCCTATTCATTGCCTATTCATATTCATAGAATGATGTATGTAAAGTTTCGTGGAAATCGGTTCAGATTTAGATATAGCTCCCATATATAGTTTCGTCCGATTTCATGTAAATGGTACCCCAAAGTCCCTATATATCTTTCGATTTGCACGAAATTTGGCATAACGTACTTAATTGAGCCTAGAAGGATGTCTGCCAAGTTTTGTGAAAATCAGTTCAGATTTCTATATAGCTCCCACTTATATATAGCTCCCACTTATAGTTTCGTCCGATTTCATGTAAATGGTGCCCCAAAGTCCCCATATATATCTTTCGATTTGCACGAAATTTGGTACAGCCTAATCACTTAAGTCTAGAATGATGTATGTAAAGTTTTGTGAAAATCGGTCCAGATTTAGATATAGCTCCCATATATAGTTTCGTCCGATTTCATGTAAATGGTACCCCAAAGTCCCTATATATCTTTCGATTTGCACGAAATTTGGCATAACGTACTGAATTGAGCCTAGATTGATGTCTGCGTTGTTTCGTGAAAATCGGTCCACATTTAGATATAGCTCCATTTTATTATAGTTTGATTTTAAGTACTTGACGCACCAAGGAACCATTAGGAACAAAACGTTCTGAAATTAGTATAACGTATCCTGTGACAAGTTTGTTTGAAATCGCTTACTATTTGGCCCGATTTCAAGTAAATTGCGCATCAAACTCCTCATGTTGGTCAGTTTGACATCAAATTTTGCACAACGTACAAAATTGAGCATAGAATTATGTAGTTTCGTTTTCTAGAAGTACAGACATAGCCCAACGGATGACCTATTTATATTTGTTTGAAGTCGATTTACATACTTTATGGATAGATCTACGTAGATTCACATTTAGATAAATATCACATATTTTATTTCATTCAAGTTCATGCTAATAGTCCTGTTTAATATACCCATAGTGGTGAAGGGTATCATATAGTCGGCCCCGTCCGACTTTACTACTTTCCTTACTGGTTTAAAAATAGGTCCATGATTTTTTTTTTTTTTAATTTAAATTTAAATTTTTTTATTAAATATTTTTAATATTTCATTTTAACAACCATAATCATCGTAGAATCTGTTATGATCACATTGCCCTGAGGTCTCTTAAGAAAATTGGTGATATTCAAGCGATAATAACCATTCAAAACCATCGGCGGAATACTAGTCCTTTCTATACGAAAATTATGCCAGCTATAAAGATTCTGAAATCGAAAAAATTAAAAATTATTATTTAATAAAAAATGTTCTGACATTTACCTACCGCCAGTATAGGACATGACTTTGGCAGATTACCATATTTCAACATATTTTGTGCCCAGAGGCCAAATAGGCTGGTCGACTCCTTAAAAGATTTACCCAAAATGTCACAAACATTAAACACATAGGTGACAAGGACCCGATAGTTGTTATCCTTTTTCAATTTCATTTCAACACTGAATTTATCCCAAAGCGGTTCGGTGATGTTACGTATTAGCATCGTATCGCAGTCCATACTTTGATGATCCTCGGAAAATGAGATATCATAGCGATTGAAGTAGTCGGGATTGTGGAAGGTGGTGGCATTTTGAAAGAGCACTACTTTTGTCTGAAAGGTGAGATGGAGAGAAGTAATCGATGTTATTTCGTTGGTATTAGATAACAAACATACCTTGACTTTGGCTGCAATATTCCATTGCAGATTATTTAGAAATATAATCCATATAAATATCGATGTGCGTGGTGAATGTCTCATTTTCCTTCCTTAACTAAAAGTAAACTAAATGATTTTTTTCTCTGTAAAGGTTTGTAGATTTAATTTTCTGTCCCTATAACTATTTTGTAATGAGGTAATGTCAACCATTATATATCAATTAAGAGTCTACAACTAATTTGTTTTAAATAATCCGATTATAAACTATAGAAAAATTTGCTAGACCATGAAATGACTTTCTTAAAAAATATTCCATTCTAAAGGCCAATTTGTTTTGTGGTCATTGACAAAATATTAAATTTTTTTTTTTTAATCTATGCCTTATGTAGGTCCATGAAAACATATTTTAAAAAAATCCAAGCCTATGTTAGGTCAATGGAAACTTACTTTTAAAAAATCCACGCCTATGGGTGGCCTAAGGGATGATATATACCAAGGAATGGCTCTAATTGGCTTCAACATGGCTTCTCTTGGTCCCTCTTTCATCTCAATTTTGGACACTGATCTACCCGTGGTGCCACCTGGGGTAGTTATTTTAATCACCCGATGAAATAGTGAGTGCCGCGAGTTCGGGTTAGTTGCCCACACTCGGAAAACCGAACCTACTATGAACCTTATCACACATAATTTTTTTCCTCAATTGCATTGGCTATGCAAAATTTTGATTAATCGGACAAATTTGCTGTATAATTCACCAAAAAATCGAACGAAACTATATATGGGAGCTATATCTAAATCTGAACCGACTTTAAAAAAACTTCGCAGACATCAGTCTGGACCTAATTCAGTACTCTGTGCAAAAATTTTTCCCAATCGGACAAATATTGGGAGTTTGGTGCACCATTCACCAAAAATGGGACGAAACTATATATGCGAGCTATATCTAAATCTGAACCGATTTTCAGGAAACTTAACACACACCATTCTAGACCTAATTCATTACGCTATGCCAAATTTCGTGCAAATCGAAAGATATATAGGGACTTTGTTGCACCATTTACATTAAATCGGACGAAAATATATATGGGAGCTATATCGAAATCTGAACCGATTTTCAAGAAATTTTCCACACATCATTCTAGACTCAATTCAGTACGCTATGCCAAATTTCGTGCAAATCGGAAGATATATAGAGACTTTGGTGTACCATTTACATAAAATCGGACGAAAATATATATGGGAGCTATATCGAAATCTGAACCGATTTTCGCGAAATTTTGCACACATCATTCTAGACTTAATTCAGTGCGCTATGTCAAATTTCGTGCAAATCGAAAGATATATGGGGACTTTGGTGCACCATTTACATAAAATCGGACGAAACTATATATAGAAGCAATATCTAAATCTGAACCAATTTTTACGAAACTTGACAAACATCACTCCAGTTTCAGTTCAGTATACCATGCCAAATTCCGTGCATATCGAAAGATATATAGGGTCTTTGCTGCACCATTAACATACAAATCGGACGAAACTATATATGGGAGCTATATCGAAATCTGAACCGACATTCATCCGCACATCATTTTAGACTCAATTCAGTACCCTATGCCAAATTTCGTGCAAATCGAAAGATATATAGGGACTATATATGGGAGCTATATCTAAATCTGAACCGATTTTCCCGAAATTCAACACTCATCATTCTACACTCAATTCAGTACGCTGTGCCAAATTTCGTGCAAATCGAAAGATATATAGGGACTTTGGTGTACCATTTACATTAAATCGGACGATAATATATATGGGAGCTATATCTAAATCTAAACCGATTTTCTCGAAACTTAAGACACACCATTCTAGACTCAATTCAGTACGTCATGCTAAATTTCGTGCAAATCGAAACCTATTTATAGGGACTTTGATACACAGTTTATATTAAATCGGTCGAAAATATATATGGGAGCTATATATAAATCAGAACCGATTTTCACGAAATTTTGCACACATCATTCTAGACCTAATTCATTACGCTATGCCAAATTTCGTGCAAATCGAAAGATATATAGGGACTTTGTTGCACCATTTACATTAAATCGGACGAAAATATATATGGGCGCTATATCGAAATCTGAACCGATTTTCAAGAAATTTTACACACATCATTCCAGACTCAATTCAGTACGCTAGGCCAAATTTCGTGGAAATCGAAAGATATATAGGGACTTTGGTGCCAACAACAGGGTTCGTCCTTGGGCCAAATAAGTGACTTATGCCAAATTTCATCCAAATTGGATTATAAATGCGACCTGTACTTTGTTTACAATTTAACATCTACAGACGGACATGCATAAATCGACTCTGAAAGTGATTCTATGCATATTGTCAAAAGGAACCATGTGTCTATCTCGTTTCCTTTTGCCTGTTAGGCACAAAGACATAATTCCCTGTATCACAGTGTGGTGAAGGGTATAAAAATCCACGCCAGGTCAATGAAATTTTTTTTTAAAAATTGTTAATAAAATTCGTGTAAGCCTCCTTAATAAAAATAATCGCCTAAAAATATGCTCTAAATTCCTAAAATTTTGATATGGAATTCCAGAAAAAATAAATAAATAATTTGTTAACAAACAAGTAATTATTTCCAGTATTTAACGAAGTGATCTCAATCTCAATATTGTTTTTCTGAATATAAAAATTACCAAAATGTTAGAAAATTGCAAATATTTAAATTGTCTGCAATAGATCAGTTATTGGTGGTGGCCCACGATGGAATATTCAAAATTCCTGTTGTATTCGCTATTAATTTTCCTGAATCAATTTACCTGTAGTCTACAGGAGAGGGTAAGTATATGCTCTAGAAAAACTTAAAAATAATTAAATTTTTCTTCCTAATCCTCTAGAAAAAGGTGGTAGTCTTTTTAAAAACTGACACCAATTTCAATCCTGTCTATGTCTCCAATTACACCCTAACAATTGCCAATGAAAATTCCACCATTAATTTGGATTTGATTTTAATAAAAAATATAACTGATCCGCTGTGGAATTTGATAAGTTTGGAAATTAAATTTGCCAAAGAGAATATCTGGAGTCAAATAATGAAATACGATTTGAATTATTGTGAATTGTTGCAACAGAGTCGGACACCAATGTTTAATCTCCTCAGTGTGTGGATTAGTAATGTTCGCAAATATGGCACCCTGCCCAAGGAGTGCCCTATATTGGTGGTAGGATTTTGAAATTTAGTTTGGAATTATAAAAAAAAAATCCCCCTTCTCCTAGGGTCACTATTCATGGCGTAATTTTAAACTGGATAAACATAGTATTCCCCACTTCGTAGTGAAGGGTTTCTATCGTATTGGTGTGTTCCTGTATCTCAAAAGAGCCGAGCAAAAGGAAATGGTGATAAATTCAACAGTCGATATTGTGGTGAAAGGAAGATAAAAAATTGTTTAAAAAATTTCTTTGCAATCACGAAATAAATAAAAATATTTATTCGAGTTGTAAAAATAGAGGTGGATTTTTTTTTAATATTTATACCCTTCACCACACTGTGGTACAGGGTATTATGTATTTGTGCATAGGTTTGTAACAGACAAAAGAAAACGAGATAGACACGTGGTTCCTTTTGAGAATTGGCATAGAATGACTTTCTGAATTGATTTATGCATGTCCGTCTGTCCGTCCGTCCATGTATTTTTGTGAACAAAGTTATTTGGCCCAAGGACGAACCCTATTGAAATTGGGTAAAATCGGTTCAGATTTGTATATATCTCCCATATATATTTTCGTCCGATTTAATGTAAATGGTGCACCATAGTCCCTATAAATCCTTCGATTTGCACGAAATGTGGCACAGCGCACTGAATTAAGTCGAGAATGATGTGTGTTAAGTTTCCTGAAAATCGGTTCAGATTTAGATATAGCTCCCATATATAGTTTCGTCCGATTTTATGTAAATGGTGCACCAAAGTCCCTATATATCTTTAGATTTGCACGAAATTTGGCATAGGGTACTGACTTAGGTCCAGAATGATGTGTGCTAAGTTTTGTGAAAATCAGTTCAGATTTAGATATAGCTCCCATATATAGCTTCGCCCGATTTTAGGTGAATAGTCCACTAAAGTACCTGGAAATCTTTTGACTTGCACGAAATTTGGCACAGCGTAATGAATAAAGTCTAGAATGATATCTGCCAAGTTTCGAGAAAATCGGTTCAGATTTAGATATAGCTCCCATATATAGTTTCGTCCGATTTAAGGTAAATGGTGCACCAAAGTTTCTATATATAATTCGATTTGCACGAAATTTAGTATAGCGCACTAAATTCAGTCTAGAATGATGTGTGCTAAGTTTCGTGAAAGTCGCTTCAGATTTAGATATAGCTCCCATATATATTTCCGTCCGATTTTAGGTAAATGGTGCACCAAAGTCCCTTTGTATCCTTCGATTTGCACGAAATTTTGCACAGCATAATGAATTGTGTCTAGAATGAAGAGCAGTAAGTTTCGGGAAAATCGATCCAGTTTTAGATATAGCTCCCATATATATTTTCGTCCGATTTAAGGTAAATGGTGCGCCAAAGTCTCTAAATAGCTCTCGAGTTGCACGAAATTTGGCATAGCGCACTAAATGAAGTCTAGAACGACATGTGTTAAATTTCGTGAAAATCGGTTCAGATTTTAATATAGCTCTTATATATATTCGTCCGATTTAAGGTAAATGAGGCACCAAAGCCCCTACATATCCTTCGATTTGCACGAAATTTGGCATAGCGTACTGAATTGAGTCTGTATTGATGTGTGTTAAGTTTCGTGGAAATCGTTTCAGATTTAGATATAGGTCCAATATGTATTTTCGTCCGATTTAAGGTAAATGATGCACAAAAGTCCCTATATGTCTTTATATATGCACGAAATTTGACATAGCGTATTGAATTAAGTCTAGCAACATGTGTGTTAAATTTCGTTAAAATCGGTTCCGACTTAGATATAGCTCCCATAAATATTTTCGTCCGATTTAAGACAAATGGTTTGTTGCACCATTTATCTTTCGATTTGCACAGCGTACTGAATTAAGAGTAAAACGATGTGTGTTAATTTTAGTGAAAATCGGTTAAGATTTAGATATAGCTTCCATATATATTTCCGCCCGATTTTAGGTAAGTGGTCCACCATAGTCCTAATGTTTATCCGATTAACACGAATTTTCGCACAACGAATCAAATTGATACATGAATTACGTTATTACGTTTTGTTGAAATTGGTGCAGATGCAGCCATAGCTTCCATATGCACTTCGAACCGGTGTCTGATAGAGATTAAATTTTTAACAGTGCGACGTACGAATATCGTGTATCAATTTTGCTAACTTTAAAATTTGCCCGAATGAAATTAAATTGAGGATAGGTTGCAGAGAGGCATGAGTATGTTCCTTCGAGGGAACATTGACATGGGGTACATGTGTACAAAATACCCAAAGTGGTGAAGGGTATCATATAGTAGGCCCAGTCCGACTTTACTACTTTCCTTACTGGTTTTAAATAATTTTTCTAAGTTTTATTTAACCCTTACTAACACATTAATTGTTGAATTCATTAGCATTTCCCGTCGACCCTCTCGTCTCTGATACATTACGACATTTATGCGATAGTAACCACAGGCAATGAATTGCGGTATGCTATTCTTATCCAATTTAAAATCACGCCAGGTATAGTGGCCCTGAAAAGAAAATAATTATTATTTTTTTTAATAAAAAAATCTCCATCTCACCTCCAACACCGGACACTGCCTTGGCAGTGTACCATATTTCAGAACATTATTTAACCAAATATTTAACAAATAAAATGCCGGCGCCTTGGTCTGCTCTAATAACTCACAAAAATTCACATCGAAACCCATAATTTTATGCCACTCTTCATCTTTATTGAATTTCGTATCCACCCTCAGCAGATTCCAAATTGGATGGGTTACATTCCGCTTAACAAGCAGATCGAAATTTAATGTTAAATTCCGTTTGCCAATATAGAGGGTGTAATTGGAGACGTATTCACGATTATAGTCAACTTCGGTATTTATAAATTGGAAATATTTTCGCTGTGAAAAAATGGGAATTATTTTCACTTCATTATTATCTGTATAAAGACACCAACCTTTTGCTGGTGGCTAGGGGGAATTTGAAGCAAAAATATTAAAACCCCATAAAAGAAAAAGATGACCCTATAGGTGTCCATTATGAGAGAGGTGTGTTCGTGTGCCTACTAAAAATTACCTACGATTGGTCATGTTGCTTTGGCTCGTTTAGTTTGTTTTTTGTTTTAGCTAATTATGAGTAATTAAAAATCAATTTCGGAATCTAAGCACACGACAATATTTATTGGTAAATAATTAAGGTAGTTTCTAAATTAGTTAATGATGCTAAATATGTAATTGTTCGAATAACTACTCAATATTTATTAATATGGGTGATTTTTCAAGGTTCCAAAATAGTCGTGGATTTTTTAAAAATATTTTTTCATCGACCTATAGGCGTGGATTCACCACACTGTGGAACAGGGTATTATGTTTTTGTGCATATGTTTGTAACAGGCAAAAATAATCGATGTAGAAGACCTATGGTTCCTTTTGAGAATATGCATAGAATCACTTTCAGAGTCGATTTATGCATGTCCGTTCGTCTGTCCATGTTAAATTGCCACCAACGTACAGGTCGCACTTATGATTTGAATTGGATGGAATTTGGCACAGCTCATTTATTTGGCCCAAGGACCGACCCTATTGAAATTGGGAAAAAAATCTGTTCAGATTTAGATTTCGTGAAAATCGGTTCAGATTTAGATATAGCTCCCAAATATATTTTCGTCCGATTTAAAGTAAAGTACCTATATATCTTTCGATGTGCATGAAGTTTGGCAATGGTGCACTAAAGTGATTTGCATGAATTTTGGTATAGCGTACTGAATTAAGTCTAGAATGACATGTGCTAAGTTTCGTAAAAATCGGTTAAGATTTAGATATAGCTCCCATATATATTTTCTTCCGATCTTTTGTAAATGGTGCACTATATTCCCTATATATCTTTCGATTTGCACGAAATTTGGCATAGCGTACTGAATTGAGTCTATAATAATGTGTGCTAGGATTCATGAGAATCGGCGAGAAGACCAAGCTGATGGTATCAACGCGCAAGACGTCCAGTAGACTCGGACCAACTGTGGAATTTGAGAACTAAAATTTGAGGTACCGCCGTAAATAAAACGAATGACATCAGTTTCGAAAATCGGAGAAGGATTGTGATGGCCAACAGATGCTACTATGGTCTAAGTAAGCAGTTTAAAAACAAGGCCACCTCCCGCCAGACCAAACTCACACTTTACAAGACGCTGATACTACCCGTGCTATTATATGGATCAGAAGCATGGGTACTTGCGCAAGCAGATGAGGCAGCTCTTGGGGTGTTTGAGAGAAAAATTCTCCGAAAGATCTGCAGGCCGATCTGCGTCGACGGTGAATATCGACGTCGAATGAACCACGAGCTTTACAATTTATACGCGGACATCGACGTAGTCAGTCGTATTGAGCTGCAGCGACTACGGTGGCTAGGCCATGTTGTGCGGATGAATGAAAACGCCCCAGCTCAAAAGGCATATAAAAATAATGAGCCTACTGATGGTTCCCGTAGAAGGGGAAGGCCACGAATTAGATGGAAAGACCATGTAGAAAACAACATCTTGGAACGTGGTCTTCCAAATTGGTGGACTTGCGCACAAGACCGACGCGCTTGGAAATCTTTTTTAAGCTCGGCTTATGGAACAACCGTTCTGTAACAAGCCAGCTAAGTAAGTAAGTAGGATTCATGAAAATCCGTTCAGATTTAGATATAGCTCCCATATATAGTTTCGTCCGATTTTAAGTAAATGGTGCACCAAAGTCCCTACATAACTTTAGATTTAACGAAATTTGGCATAGTGTACTGAAGTAGGTCCAGAATGATGTGTGCTAAGTTTCGTGAAAATCGGTTAAGGTTTAGATGTAGCTCCCATATATATTATCGTCCAATTTAAGGTACATGGGGAACCAAAGTCCCCATAAATTGTTCGGTTTGCTCGAAATTTGGCATAGTGCACTGAATTAGATCCAGAATGACATGTGCCAAGTTTAAAAAAATAATGGGTCAGATTTATATATAGCTCCCATATATATTTCCGTCCGATCTAAGGTAAATGAGGCTCCAAAGTCCCTATATATATTTTGATTTACATGAAATTTGGCACAGTGTACTAAAGTAGGTCCAGAATGATGTGTGATAAGTTTCGTGAAAATCGGTTAAGGTTTAGATGTAGCTCCCATATATATTTTCGTCCGATTTAAGGTACATGGGGAACCAAAGTCCCCATAAATTGTTCGATTTGCACGAAATTTGGCATAGTGTACTTAATTAGGTCCAGAATGACATGTGCCAAGTTTCAGATTTAGATATAGCTCCCATATATATTTTCGTCCGATTTTATGTAAATAGTCCACCGAAACTCCTATATATCCTTGGATTTACACGCAGTTTGGCATAGCGTACTTAATTAAGTCTAGAGTGATGTGTGCTAAGTTTCGAGAAAATCGGTTCAAATTAAGATATAGCTCCCATATATATTTTTGTCCGATTTTATAGAAATGGTGCGAAAAAGTCCCTAAATATCTTTCGATTTACACGACATTTGGCATAGCGTACTAAATTAAGTCTAGAATAATGTGTGCTAAGTTTCGTGGAAATCGGTTGAAATTTAGATATATATCCCATATATACTTTAGTCCGATTTTATATAAATGGTGCACGAAAGTCCCTATATATCGATTTGCACTAAATTTGGAATATCGTACTGAACTGATTCTAGAATAATGTGTGGTAAGTTTCGGAAAAATCGTCTGAGATTTCTATATAGCTCCCCCATATATGTGTACATATATTCGTCCGATTTTACCTAAATGGTGCACCAAACGTCTAATGTTTGTCCGATTAACACGAAATTTTGAACAGTGTATCCAATTGAGACTCGAATGACGTTATTGGGTTTTGTTGAAATTGGTGCAGATGCAGCCATACCTTCCATATGTATTTCGAACGGGTGTCTGATTGAAATTAAATTTTTAACAGTGTGGCGTACTGAATGGCGTGTATCAATTTTGCTTTAAATCGTTTTCCGTACATTTATCCCATGTTCTAAACCTGCCCGAATGAAATTAAATTTATGATAGGTTGCAGAAAGACATGAGTATGTTCCTTCGAGAGAACATTGACATGGAATTATAAGGATACATATGTAGAATATACCCAAAGTGATGAAGGGTATCATATAGTCGTCACAGTCCGACTTTACTACTATCCTTACTGGTTCAAAATATTTTTCATTGACCTATATAAGGCGTGGATTTTTAAAAATATTTTTCATTGTTACAACTGTTTGGAAATTTGGATCTTTAACGAGCGACCATTATATCTACCAATACTATAACAATCAACGGTATAGAAAATTATAGTAACCATTTCACATAAAAAAAATCCCCGCATATCTCTCTTTCCAAACCACATCTGAGTCCAAATTAGAAATAATGTGAATGCTGTGTGTGGACAAAGTTTTCTTCCAACAAAATGTCTTCTTCGCACGGGACAAAAACAAACCAATGGTAAGAAAACTATCATCACCACCACCAGGTAATCATTGTCACGTTTCACTATGAACACTAACAAGATTCTATAGATTTTGTCCCTCACCCCATCGGAATATTCGAAAAATTCGAAACTCTCCCCCCACGTCTGCAATTGAATCTGAACTTCTTCCGCCATGTCTAATGCAACAAGTATGTTCGGAATTTCCCTCGACAAGTGCTCGTTCACACACATCCATTCGCACAGCAAGTTGCCTGTTGTTAGTTTCTAATGACGCTGTTGCGTCTTAATGTAAAGACATTGACGACGCGCTACGTGGTGTAAATGTGTCGCAGTTTCAATTTAATAAAAATACAACAATGACAACAACAAAAATATTGTTAAAATTACACTGCAATTTAATGCTACGGCTAGATGCTGTGCCGTGAAAAGCTTGGTGGGAAATTGTTAACAAATTTGGTATTGGTAATAGGCGACAGGGGAGGTGTACTATGTTAGACCCTTCAAAAACAAAATATTTTTAAAATATCCATGCCTATATTGGGTCGATGAAAAAAATATTTTTAAACCAGTGAACGGAACAGTATAGTCGGACGGGGCCGACCATATGATACCTTACACAACATCCCTACACGACATAACTTTGTGTGGTTTTTATTCTGAGCTTGGGCAATATTTCGCGGTATTTGCAACCTCTTGACCGACTAGAGGTCAGCCAATATTACTTATATCCAGTACAGGCCCTTCTAATTACTTGTCCAGATTCCCTTCACCGTGGGTTGTGTTGTGATGTTCGGCTTTCAATTGTGGCTATAGATCGACTCGAAAAAAACATAAAAACAAATTAAGTTTTCGGTCCACTGCATCACAATATTATTATCTTCTTTTTCATCACCGAAAATAATAGGATCCTCATGGAAAATTTCAAAGCGATCCGCTCTATATTTCCGACTCTAGTATGATAATGAATGTGTTACTTAATAATATCTGAGTACGTAAGAACTTGTAAATATGTAAGTGTAACTCCCACATCCGAGTACATACGACAATATAATTGGTATCAATTTAAAGGTCAACCAGTCCTCCTGAACATACTATCAACTTCACGGGTCTAGGACCTTCAGGTGCAAATATATACCCCATAGAATACAAATTTTGTACTTTTTCATACAAAAGTCAGGGTCTATTTGACCCGCTAAATATTGGCCGATCCTTATCAAAACAGGCATACTTATTCTTTGGCCTGATCCCCTTCTCCGTGCAAAAATTCGCGGTGTTTGGGTCATAAGTGCAGCCTCTGGAGCGACCAGAAAATCCGACAAAAATAAAGTTTTTGGTCCATTTCGTCTCCTAAATATTAACCGATCTTTTCCACAAACAATAGGGGTCTTAATTGGCCAGAACCCATCCTACATGCAAAATTTCGTGAAAATTGGTCCATAACTGTGGCCTGTATCGTGTTTACAAATTATAATGGACAGACGGACGGACGGACACACATGTCTAGATTGACTCAGCTTGTCGTTACAAACGTTTGGGGCTGCACAAACCTATAATACCCTGACAACATAGTTGTGTACGGTATAAAAATTCACGCTTTATATAGGCCGATGAAACACCATTT